TGTCTGTCTGTTTACCTTTCCCAGGGGAGGGGCCAGTAGAACATATGCCCCCTGGCTGACTATTTCCCCTCCCTGCTATGTAGGCAAGACCAAGCACTCCGCGAGAGAATCTGTGATAAGTGAACAGGTGAGCTAAGCAGTAGTCCTTAAAGGCTGTCCCACGACTAAAAACCTAAAATAAAAACAAGATAGGAATGTATAGGTGAACTAGACAGTATCATATTTATTAATGCAGGAATTTTTTTATTGTCCATTTTTATAGAGTTTTACACAAGTCTAATTTTCATACAATAATAATTAAATAAAACTGACAGTTACACAGCCTGCAACATTAAACTACCTGCAGTAAGTAGGTTGTGTTCCATGTAATATTTGGGTTGTTGTAATGCACTCCTTGGTATGTGTAATTTTCATGGATTTCCAGCTGAAATTTTAATAAAATATTGAAAATATTGTACAATTGCAACAAACTCTGTTTCCTGACAGTTATTATCCATTTGTCCAAAACATAACAAGATTAGCTAACAACCATTATATAATACTTCAGGTACAAGGTATACAGCTTCATTTTATAGACATATACATGTATAGTGTACAATGTATTTGCTTTCGTAACAATATTTTTCTTTTACAAACCAGTACAAGTGACAATCTAATTATAGGAGACAAATGAAACCAGAGTATTGACAGAAGAGTGAGAAGACGTACCTCAGCAATTTCAAAACCTAATCCCTGGATGTTGGAATTCTCATCTGGCCATCTGGTTCTCATAAATATCTGGTTTACACGGTTCATTATACCTATCTATGGATAAAGAAGTAGCAGAACATAATTATTAAAGCTTTATAAATAAATATGCACTTTTCAATAAACATGTGTTTGTAATCATACATATTTTTTTTATTGAAGACGAGTTTTCAAGATGTTTTAAATGTGTTAATATACTGTAACCCAACTTTTATTCGCGTGCGAGAAATTTTCGCGAGCCTCGTAATCGCGAATATTTCTCACCGCAAATCGGTCCTTAAAGCCTTCGCAGCTAGGATAAGGCTGCCCGTAAAATATCAAACTGTTCAAACTGTAGTAACTTCTCTGAACTATCTAGATATGACGTCATAATAGAATATGACGTCAAGTCACTGCATACTTGAGCTGACTTGACGGGGAAAGTGTCATAAATTTTAAATCGCATGTAGATTTATTTTGGGGACTTGTTGTTTAATTCAAGTGTTAAGATTGCTATTTAAGCTCGAGTTTGCTGTTATGATGTTGAATATTTGAAATTTAAATATCCCTATTCCTTTCACTTGCCCGATATGCACATATTCTAACAATAGCAAAAAATTATATGTGAAACATTCCCCTTATACATCCATAGAGAGTTAGAATTTATGAATCCTGTTTATATTAGACTGGCACAAGTGATAAACAAGGACAAATTGAAGATATTCTGTGTGAATCTACAAGAGAAGTATGTCCTCTAACTGAATTTTGCTGGGGGATTGTGTGTAGTTTATCCATTTTTGTATAAATTGCGATAATGAGTGGAAAATACCCGTTCTTATGTTGGTAAGTTGAATTTCTCGTAAATATTTTCTGAAGGAGTAAAAATTAAACTTGCCCCCAGCACTTTCTATGTACCAGAGATCACAATGAATTGATCTATGTAACAAACTTTGCACAATATTTTTGTTTTGCACTTGTGCCGAAGCGATTTTTGTACAACAATTAGGAATATCATAAATCTCCGTCACGTGATTAACACAGTCATGTGACATCACAAAAATGGATGAAAATAAAACCTGATTAAACTATTATCTCAAGTTGACTGCAACTTCACAACAAGGATTACACATTAAAATTAAAATATAGCTCAAAATAAAATGTATATTTTTAAGGCATTTTAAGCCTTCGGACAGCCTAATCATAACTGCGTTTGTCTTAATTAACACCAGCTCAAAAAGGCTTGATCACGAAAATTAATCGTCCCAAACTAGTTCAACCCCAGTAAATCGCGAAATAAAGTCGCCGCAAATAAAATTTGGTTTACAGTAAATAATAGATACACTAAACAGTTCAAGAAGACAACTGCGCTAAGAGAGCCTGATAATTTATGACATTTTACAGTATAATAGGCATGCCTCCTTACTATGTAAGTAGCTGTAGTATGTTTATTGTTCCCTCCAATGTTTTTATGAAATTCATAATCAGCAATAACAAAAAGACGACACATTTTCTTTGATCCTAGGAAATCAGGCTCTCTTTTTAATCTCCGATGCTTGTAATCTGGAAAAATTAAAAGAAAATCAAAATGAATTTCATCTGGGTAGTTTTGCAACTAAGTCACTTTCATTCAAGAACACAAAAAAATAGCACATTAAAAATGTGGGAAATAATACAAGTACCTGTGTAATAATTTTCTAAAAATATATTTTCAGGTGTTGAAGGAATTACATCAGCTGCTCTTGACTTTTCAGCATCATTACCACAAAATTTTACCCTGTAAAAATGAATTTAGTATTGAAATCATCAATGTATTCTAATGCTGTACACAAAATTTTTAAAATAATTGTTTAGTATAGGTTTCTCATTGCCATGAGAACTAACCTGTGTCCTAACGCCTTCTTTTGTGGATCAGTCACCATGTCTGACTTTTTATAAATGATCATGCTACCATTGTTTTTCTGCACTGAACTTTTCCAGAATCTCCAGGAAGGCTGTAATAACAATATTACTTATTAGGTTTGTTACTGGCTGTCTACAGAAATACATCGGTTTGGTCAATTTTAAACACACAGTGGCACTTTTCTATGAAATATAAAGCTTCTACAATTAATTATGATTAGTTTAAGTGTGTAACAGTACCTCCAGTACTATGATATCATCAGCTGTGGTTATACTGGCTGATAACACGTCCCCCTCCCAATGGGCCTCAACATGTGAGCTGTCATCATCTGAAATGTTTGTCATGCATCGTTTCATAAAAGAAACAATTAGCAAACAGAGACTTTAAAAAATAATCTACATTTTACTTAAAAGGCATTGATTCACTATTTAATCTCTTCACATAAAATTTTGTATTAAAAATGTAATTCATATTATCAATGATTCATTATATATTAAATTCAAAAAAATGTTTTAAAATTATAGAGAAAATCAAATCACTGTCAGCATGAATTCATTCTAAGCCTGTTGGGATGTTTCACTGTAGATATTAAAACAAGGAAATTAATGATCATGATGCTTTTACCTGACAAATGGCCCTGGAGGAAGTTTGAGTTTGCAATGTAAAATTCATATTTCAAATTATTGTTCAGTGTCCTTGCTCTAAAATCCTGAGTTATGATATTGGACTGTTTAAGAACTAAATGAAAATGCCTGAAATGTAACAAGGAATTGCTGGTAACATTGAACTATAAAATATATAAACATGATAAAATTGTTCCTATTAATACCTTTTCAGGAAGTTTTTAGATAAGGAAATTAAAGTTCCTAATAATTACTATGCCAATGTTCAACAACATACAACTATCAGATTTGCTGAATATAGATATAAAATACATAATGTCAGCTGCCAGTGTTAGTTAAACTGATTGTCGTAAAAAGGATTGGTAACAATTAAACAGATATAAAATTAAGATTATAATTAAATAAAGTTAAAGCTTTTCAAAATAAGTCATCTTTCTTTGGAAGTATTACCAAAAAAAAAAATTATTTCAAGAACTTGACATTATGTATGATTACAAAAGCTTTAAACCAGAAATATGAATAGATTCAGATATGTAAGCACAAAACCTATTAAATGCTTTGAACCAAAACTGGTGGAGATGTGATGCAGGATTTGGATCTGCTCCCCGTCTTGTCCGACGTTCAATATCTGACATTTGTAGAAACTCATAATACTGCAATTTACTGGATACATCTCCTACAATGATGACACTCACATTAATATCACAGAATATGTTTTATTTGCCATTTTAAATGTCACACCTCCAGGGACATACAATTTACTGAAAGTATACATGATGACTCAATTCAATGAAATTTATTCTATCAAATTAATATTAGAAAACTTATTATCAAATTTCTTTTACTCCTACACTGCCCTTTTGACCTCATGACCAAATTATGCAATATAATGGTTTATTATAAAATAAAACTTTTGAGCATATCCCCACGATTTTTATATTTTTCTGAACACTGGATCTTGGAATAAAATAACTTACCGTTTGTGAAGCTAACCAGCACTACTACCATCACCAAACAACACTCGACACTCCTCATCCTCAGTCATTTGTTGAGTTTTAATGTATTTCCAGCAAAATCATTAAATTTTTTAGAAAATTGTAAAGTGTAGAACCAAGAAGATGAGACTGTACGGAAACAATCTTCATTTTAAAAAGTATAATTATTTTGTTTTGTTTTATACAAATTTTTCTTTTCGATTTTCATTTAAAAATTTATCTTTAATAAAAAAAAAAAGAAAAAAAACATAATTTTGCCCAGTAAATTCAAGATTTTTTTCCAAATTAATTCACGGAAAAGGTTCCGTTTACCGCCTTACTTTTATATTCTACTTTCACTTTTTCGACAAGACAGAATCAGAGATAAAATCACAAATATTTAATTTATAACAAAGGTAAGTTCACTTTTCGATTCAATTTTCTCTAATTAATGAATGAAAACAAACATACATGTCAAGATCAAACTAGATCACAAAAATATAGTGCTGCAAATCATACAAAATGTTTTTATTGCGAGATCTGTGAATATACTGACATATGTTTGATCAGAGACATCAAGTCCATTAGTCCAACACAATTTATTAGTTTAGTTGTAAATCAAAGCTTGATTAAGCGATCCAACATAGCTTGATTTAGCTATCTTAGCATGATTTTACTTAAATTTTCAATTTTTAAAGCATAAATTTACAAAAGTTGAGATGCAGTGAAAATTTTCAACTGTTTGTGTATATTTATAAAATTGTTAAAACTTACTTTTAAATTTTGTATTGAATCTTTCAAAGCCCAAGGATGGCATCATTTGAATCCAAAGCTGTGAAGCAAAGCAATGCTCCTCAGGAAATGCAGAAGTTTTCATTAAGGAGATTGGAAATATCCATCAACAAGTTCATCAAAGTGATAACAATAGACATAGAGAGACTGCAGCAACACAGATTAAATGTCGAAAAAGTATCATCTCTTTCAATTTCTCAAATACATTTTGATATATGACAGTCTATCCCAAAAGCACCCGAATGTCACCTGGTGTAGAAAATAGCCAATGAAAATCTGATTGGTCTCATGCACTATCTAGTAAAATCGGGGCATATTGTCCATTCGTTTATCAGGAACAATTTTAAATTCATATGTTATTATTTCATCATATAGAGAATCTTATACCAAAACACACTTTTAAAAACATATTGTATTTGTTGAGTGTGATTGTTTTAAAACCTGCTAAAAAAATTTGTTTGTTTCCTAACCACCATAAATCCCAAATGTTATATGTATGCATTTTATTTTTCTTTTTTTACAAAATTGGCAAAAATGCGTTTGATCAATCAGTCCAGTTGTACAAAATTATATTAAAAAAAATAAATAATTTGTAGCTTTTAATAACTTGAGACACAAAATATGTCAATATAGTTTACAAATTACTTTAAATATAAAGAGTAATAATTATTGTAACAACAATTTCCCCCTACAACTTTGTGAAGTTCGTTTTCTAGGCAGCCATTTTGGATGCCATGCTGGGTGTCCACTGGAAATATGACACTTGGTATATTCATCCTGAAAAATGGTTTTTGTAGTATCTCATCATGAACTAGAAAAGTGAAGATAAATAAATTTGTTGTTTTACTTCTCAATTGATTAATTTTAAATGTTATATTAACAAACATATCTTTTTAAGCTTAATACATGTTTACTGATTCATTTGCTATGAAAAAAACAAAGCAATGATCATTATATGAAAAAGTTTTCATTAAGGAGATTGGAAATATCCATCAACAAGTTTGGTCAAAGTGAAATTGTGTTAGACTGTCAGCAGCACAGATTAAATGTCCTGTGGTGATTTTTCCAATTTCTTAAATACATTTTGATATATGAAATTGTCAATTTAAAAATGTTTGATATTTATAAATATGTAATACATTGTGTATTATTATCTCCCTTTACTGTAAAATTTTCAGTTTAACAGACTTAATGATTGGAATGCCCTTAATCGAGAGAATGTAAATGCTACTAGGACAGTCCAACAGATTAAGGCAAATATCAAAGAAATAAAAAAGTTAAGAACACAGGTCATGGATGAAGATATTGAGGAGTTTGATTGTAAAACAGATCCAATGGTGCAACAAGCTATACACACACTGCAAGAATTTGTGGATTTAAGAACTGAAATTTCTAAAAGTTCTGGTAATATCATTACTCATATTTCATATAAAAAGACCAGAATAAAAAGTTGCCTGTTTTTTCATTATTTTAAAGTCAGAATGAGCATCTCAAAGAACAAAATTAACAATCTTAATCTTTTTTCCATTCTCATTGTGTTGAATCTTCTTGCAAATATTTTTTTAACAAAACAGAAGCTGATGACACAGATGTGTTCTCCAGCAGACATAGAACTGTGAGTGAGAACGAGCTTCTTATCGCGGGTACGGAGCAGTTACACCAGATCCCGGACTGTTCTCAGGCTGAGGAATCCTGGGAAAATTTACACGAGGTAACCATAGTAACAGAAAGCCAGGAAAAAACTTTTTACATGTACTTTTAAAATGTATTCAAGGAAAGAAGCTAGACTTGACAGAATACAGACAATTATGTAATCTGCAATGAAAACTTAATTTGATGCAAGCTGAGATTTATTGCTTTAAAAGATTAATTATTGACATTATGTTTATAGGGTCATGTCTTACATGATATGGAATTTATCTTAAATTGATTTTTCAGAACCTGGTGGAATTAAATACTTTAATACATGATTTTTCAAGTGCAGTAAAGGTAAGCTTTAAAAGACTTTCAGATCTTCCAGATATACTGTATGTGTACAGTGTAAATTGGCATATTCAAAATTTAGCGCAACCACTGGGTATGAAGTTGGCGTAATCATGAATTAGCACTATGTTTGTCCCTGCTATGTATTGTATTTTAAAATGATTTCTTAGTGGTGTTCATGAATTAACGCATCATTGCCCGTGCCAAAGCTGCTAAAATATGAAGCCTGCTTTTTAAAAACAGTATATTGCAGTGGGTTATTGTCCCCCGCTTGAAAAGTGGGGGATATTAATTTGGGTTTGTCCGTCCGTCCGTCCGTCTTTCTGTCTGTCTGTCTGTCTGTAACGCTTTTTTCCACACGATATGAGAACCCTTTGAGCTTTTGCAATGAAATTTAGCATAGCAACTCCCTATGGACTAAAGAAGACCCCTATTGATTTTGAGGTCAAAAGGTCAAAGGTCAAGGTCATAAATAAGCAAATTATGTCTGTTAAAACACTTTCGTTTCCACACGATATCTCTAGAACCATTTGAGCTATTGCAATGAAATTTTACATAACAACTCCCTGTGGTCTAATAAAGACCCCTATTGATTTGGAGGTGAAAAGGTCAAAGTTCAAGGTCGTAATTTTATACATTCTGTCTGTGTGTAACACTATCATTTCCGGGCGATATTTCAAGAAGATTTTGAGCTTATGCAATGTAATTTTATACCAAAACTCCCTAGGACGTCTCTCGCCCCTCTCAAAGTGCCCCGCCCCGTTTGTTTTATTAGTATTTATAGTACATGTATTACATGTCGCTATTTTTAGCGCAGGGGCATGAGGAGAGTTATTGCGTATAAAACAGGTTCTCGGCGGACTTTATGTTCTTATTACATCTATTAGAACTGTTTAATAATGGCTAAATAAATCAAACACCATGGATTGTGTAAAATTTTGAGAATACCGAACATGAATATATACATGTATGTGACTTTAGTTCTGCATATACTTTGTACCGGCTAGAGCGATTCCGTGGTCTAGTGGTTATGTCACTCGCTTTACATGCGAAAGTCACACAAATGAAGTTAACTTGTCTTTTTTTTTCTTTTTTTTTTTTTTAAATACTTTTTTTTTTATTAAATGATAGTATTCAGCATGTGAAATGAAAAATTTATGAGGTTATAAATATCATTACAGTGTGATAAATATTCCATATAAAAAGAATCTTCTATACACATAATAAAGAATAAGCAATCAAATCTTTATATGCATATTGACATACATGTATTTTATTTGCTTCAGTATACATGTATACATTTAATAATTCTACAAATTCAGTCAGGGGGATCCGACTTTTTCCCTAAGCGGGGGACACGAATTCTCTGAATTAGCTTGTTTTTTTTCAAATTGGTAATAAGAGTTCAAATATGATTTACAGCTGATTTTAATAATGAAGGCTTGCATGTACTGTAGCTTAAATTTAATTGACTTGAAACTCAATAAAAAGTTAAATTAATGATTTACAATAGGATTTTTATTGCTTTTTATTTGTAGACAGATAAGCACTTGTAAGTAAGCAGCACTAGGCCTTCTTTGGTGGAGCAAAAGTATATTTTGTGTTTTCTGCTATAACTTTTACAGACACAACAAGAATCTGTTGACAGAATTGAAGACAATATTGAGAAAGCACATCAGGAGGTCCAAAAGGGGGCGATTCAACTGGGAAAGGTACTGTTTGTTCCAGGAACGTTAGATACTAGTAATCTACTTACTGACTACTTCTGTCATTGAGATAGTGATATTATGCAAAATATACATGTATTACCTATACTAGTAAAAGGATGTAGTTAACAGAGATGAATATTGATAACACAATTTATTTAAATCAATTTAAAAGTCACACAAATGAAGTTAGTTTTTCATTTCTTCTTTACTGTTTTACCACTACCTAAAAAAGCATATATATGCTTCATTTAATTTATTAAACATACAATACAACTAAATGTAATCCATTATCTTCCAGGCCTCCAAATACAAAGCTGCCATATTCCCAGTGGCAGGTGCCCTTCTTGGTACAGTGGTGGCAGGGCCAGTAGGGTTGATAGCGGGGGCCAAAATAGGGGGCGTTATGGGGGTGGGGATCGGAGGGACAGCAGGTGAGGTTTAACATATAACAAATATATGAAGAAAGAATCACTTTGCACTGCCAGAAATTTCAATAAAAAAGTATGGCCAAGAATGGAATGTTTACTTTAATAGATTGTTTGATTAATGGTGTTGGCATTGTTACTAAAATAGAATTTTTTTGGAAATTCTTTTAAAAAATGCTACTGCTCCTACAGTTTTTGTCTGATTTCAATAAAAAATTTTACACAGTCAAGTAGATACACTTGATGCATATTTCTATTAGTTCATTTTTAGATTTTGAGAAAAAATTGTTGTTATGGTTCCTAAAAATACATGTACATTGTAAGAAAATATTTTACTTATTGCTGTTGTCAAAGTTTCAAGCCCAAGTGATACCTTTCTCTTCAATGAAATTAGGAAAAATGCTGAATATCTGTAACACTCTGTCAATAAATGAGTAATTCAATGGAAGAATATTCCTCCCTCCTTAATGGTCTTTGCTCCCTCAAAGACCCCAGCCCAAACTTATCCCTCGCAGCCTGGCCTCTCACCTGTCAGTTCCAGATCATGGTATGGCATCAAATGTAATGGGAGAGGAGAAAAATGCAGTGGACCAGACCGGGATTCGAACCCAGGCCCCCTGATTCTCCAGACAGGTGCTCTACTGACTGAGCTATCTGGCCACTTGCGATCAAACCAGTGTGACCCCCACACTTGGTTAATAAAAGTTGAAATCAAATCCTACTATATGTCAAAATCCTACTGTATGTCAATCTGTTATTTTTATATTACAGGATTTTTAGGGGGTAGATTCCTGAAAAAGAGACAAAACCAAGTGACAGAGGTAGAACTGAAAAATATGAGTGTGAAAAAATCCTCTTCTTTACCGGACATAGCATCTGAGTCTGGGCAGAAAAAAGGCTGGTTACCTTGGACATGACATGCAATTCTGTGTAGTATATTTATCAATTTACTTAACAGTCATTTTAAAAGAGACATTGGCATATATCAGTATTATTATATGTAAAATGTTATTTACATGTATTGTGCATTAATCCTGCCAATAAGTTTTGAAGGACGTTACATTTTCAGCCATGATTTCCTCTGTTTGTAAGATACATGTATCTGAAGAAATGAAATTGATTGAAATCTTTAAAAAAAGAATGTGTTTTCAGTCAAGTCAGATGTTAAACTTTCCCAAGAAAAATCTGCTAAAGGTTTGCAGATGCCAGACTTTATCATTTTTGTGTTATATTCCTATATTAAAAATGTCCTTAAAAGTGAACTTAAGTTTTAAAATCTGGATGAAAGTCTGGCAAAGGTCTTGTGGCAAGCATCTTAGCTAGCTAAAGATGACAGTTTGCCCTTTATTTCTCTTTTGCAGATCATCACCATTGATCACCATATTGGTTATCAAAGTTAGTGGCAATTTTCATTTAATCAAAGTTCCGATTTATCTGGTAATGGTAAGGGAATTGGAAATTTGTTTTTCAAATTTTCTTCCCATCATCGTCACTGTGGCATTGTACAGTAGACCCAAACCTTGATGGTTCACTGATGTGATAGTGAACTACATGGTTGTATTCACTGATGTGATACTGAACTACATTGTTGTATTCGCTTTCAAACATAGCATTGTTTCAGATAAATCAAGGCAGTGATTCAATTCCCATTGTCAGTATGTTTAAATATGTATTTAACAGAGCTTTCTTACACTGATCATTGCAAAAAACTGGAGGTATTGTGAGCACTGAGCTAACTAAATGATATCCCCCAGCCTCCGATATGATTAAAATGGCAAAGTCCATATTTTGCTTGGGGAGACCCGAAATTAGTGTGCGATCAAAAAGTAAAATAGGAGGTCACAATGGCTCTATGTAAGAAAGATTCTGTGAAAGTCTCATTATCTCATTCAGTAGTATATAAGGATTCTCGCAATGCCAGGGGTTCAGAGTCAACACGTTGCTGTTGACTCAGGACCCCTGGCATTCCGGGAATGTAGTATAAGAGGAGTTGTGGATAAGAAATGGGTACCCCAAGTCGTAACAGACGAACGAACGGACGGACGGACATCCCGATCACTGTATACCCTCCGACTTTTCAAAAAGGGGGGAGTATTAAGACCTCTGGCAATTCACTTCCGCCACTTTGATCTTTTAAAAGAGCCCCGACAGAAAAACAAACATGAATTTTAATCAGCAAATACTTTGCTTTATATTACATTGAACTCTTCGGAAATTCTTTGCCAACATACAAAGAAGAAAACGACATTTTAATTATTCGTTTAGCTCAGCTTCTCTCCTGGCTTGCATGATTTTTTTCTGGATTTCTCTTTCCCGCCTTTTTTTACCACACCCCCACCAACCACAGTCTGGGTTGTCAGGATTGGTGTCTTCCACGGTTGCTCTGGCGGCATCCTCCGAAATCTCTCTCTTTCTCCCACTACAATGTCCCCACCAACACCCCTGGGCTTTAGCTTCTGGTGGTGATAAGGCACTTCCAATTGCTTTAATGTAAAAGACACAAAATTAGGCTCCCGTTTCTTCCAATTATCTATAAGATCAACACATGCTATAAGAACTGAGCGAAAAAAATAAATTACAAATACACTGTATGGCATTTTGATTTAGCTTTATACTGGTAATCGGACATGTTTGCAAGCATAAAAAATAAGAAGAACTATCATCTTTCTCATTTCCTATGCGTTTCTAGAACTTAAGAATAGATGTTTCCATAAAAAAATGAAAGTAATAGTGAAAAAATCCTACGAACATTACAAATATATGAGCAGGGTATAAAACCGAAGGCCAGTAAGTTCCAGGGATGGGATCTGGTGCCTAGGAGGAGTAAGCATCCCCCGGCTATCAATCGGCCACATTCGCTGTGAGCCCTGTGTCTTGTTCAGTTAGACGAAATATTCCATTGTCAAACTTGGTATAAAATGAAGACAATCATTCTTAAATATGTCAGTCAAACTATGACAAAGTGGTAGATAATAAGATTATCATAACGCAGTCACGGAATTTTTAGCGAGAGGCAAATTTAGCGATTTGTCTTTTAAAATTGGTATTTTGATTTTAGCGATTTGCAATTTTAGCGATTTTAAAATGCTCACTAAATAAGCTATTAAAGTAAAAACGCAATTGATTTTTAGCGTTATTCAGCTCTAACGATTGCATAACCCTCGCTAATACCAGTTTTTTTTTTGCTGTCAACTTTTTCAGGTGAGTGAAAAAAATTTTCTCTGGTTGCCCCCCCCCCTTTTCAAAATCGATGCTACGTGGCTGTTACGACTATGAAATTTACGAAATACTGACAATGAACGAGAATTTGGAAATTCCTAGCATTGTCCATACTCATACAGAGCATGTTTTTGGGTAGCTTGTGTATCAAATTTTCATTTTTTTTTTACATTTGACATTTATCATATAGGCGTCATATGCAGGTGATAGCAAAAATATACATTATTTAGGCATTGAAAATTGGGATTTACTTTTTTTGTTGGTTTAGCCCCCCACTTTCGATTAGCCTCCCCACTTTCAATTTGCTTCCGACACCCATGATCTATATACATTTGTACTTACCCAACAAGAATAAAACCACCAAAAGGACGAACAAGAAGGTCTTCATTGTCACCTAAAAAGAATGAAAAGGTGATGAACAATAAACTCAAAACTAAACATTCGCTTTGTTTCAACCTACCGTATAACTTACCGGGCTTGAATACAGAAGGGAAAACGGTATACCAGTCCCAGTTCATCTCTTTTTATATTCACACATATGCAACTGTTACAGCACTTTTAGGGGACGTGCTGACATCGATAGGGGCTAAAATGTTGCACGCATCGCATTGGTGGCTCTTGAAATATGCAGTTTGCTGTCTACTTGAAAATCGTAGTTGCATTCTTCTCATTCGGTCACTTATTTGATTGGAATTCGGTTAATTTGATATCAAACTAAGCATTTTTTTTTTAAATATAATGTTTAAAAGATTTAAAATTGATTCCTTTAACAAAACACGGGCAAAGTTTTAGAGGAAAAAAAATAAAATTTTATTGAAATTAGATATTTATAAATGTTGTCGGGGATAACTAGATTGAAGGATAGTGTAGAAAAAGGTATTGTCGTGCTTAGTTCCTTTCATTCTTCAGGTTACCATTGCTCGATTAGAAAAGTCCACATGTCGATATCTTAGTTATCTGCATACCTGGTATTTTATAAAAATCGGAAACCTCTGTGCTGATGTACAGGACATCATCAAAATTCATATTCCAAAAGATTAGGTTTTTGTTCAAATATAGAATAGATCAAGGATATGGTTTTTGAAGAAAAAACGCATTTCGGTCATGTAGAGGGCCAAATGTAACTGACACAATAATGTACGTATATAACAATATTTTTCCAATTCTAAAATAGGCGCCAACTGAATGAAAATTATAACTATTAACCTTATTGCACACAAATCATGATACAAACGATGAATTGTTAAATTTTTCTCAGATAAATACCCATTCAAACAAATAGGTAAACGTATATATTTTAACGCATTCTTTTTCTATATTATAGTAAATCTAATTCAATCCAATGAAAATTGTATATTTCAATCATTTACAAATACATGTACAGTAACTAAAACAGGCAGGTAGCAATAGGGGGCTGGCCCTCCCACTTTTTTCCCAACATTACTGAAAACTTTCATTGAATGGCAGCCCCCACTTTTTACTACAGTAAAGTGATATCGGGGAAATGAAGTATTGCATGCAAAAACAAGATGTGTTTGTGAAACACTATGCGCCCGGCGGCAACAAAGTTTTAAAAAAACTATTTTCAGCAGATAAGTGAAAGTCAAGGTCACAAGGTCATTGACCTTGATGTCATTTGAAGAACTTCATTAGTGGAGTATGCACACCAAATATGAAGTCTCTATCTCTCGTGGTTCAAAAGTTATGGCGAAAATTTGTAAAATCTTAGCATATAGGTCACAGTCAAGGTCACAAGGTCATTGACCTTGTTATCATTTGAAAGAGCGTCATTGGTGGAGTAAGCATATCAAATATGTAGTCTCTATCTCTCATGGTTCAAAAGATATGGCGAAAATTCAAAAAAGCTATTTTTAGCAAATAGGTCATAGTCAAGGTTACAAGGTCATTGACCTTGGTGTCATTCGAAAGAACTTTATTGTTGGAGTATGCATACCAAATTTGAAGTCTCTATCTTTCATGGTTCAAAAATTATGGCGAAGGTTAAAGTTGACAACAGGCAGACAGACAAACAGACAGGACAAAAAATATACGCCTCGGATCTATCGATTCGGGCGCATAAAAATTGGTACTGAAAGAAGTTGGCATTGAAAAAAGTTTCCTCTACCCTCCCCCCCCCCCTCCACACACACACACACACACGAGATAGGATTTTCGAGTTTGGGCAATGTTTTTATACGCCCGTCTTAAGACGGGACGTATTATGTTATAGGCTTCATGTCCGTCCGTCCGTCCGTCCGTCTGTCCACTCATGTCCGGCTCATAACTTCAATACTAATAGGCCTAGGACTATCAAACTTTGTCAACTGGTACTTCTTGGGTAGACGGTGTGTCGCGCACAAAAAGTAGGTCACTCTGACCTTTAATAAAGATGCTATGGCCAAATAAGGAAAAATCCTGTCCGGCTCATAACTAGAAAACTATTAGACCTAGAGCTATCAAACTTGGCAAAAATATACATCTTAGGTAGAAGGTGTGTCGCGGCTTATTTCAAGGTCACTTTGACTTTTAATTTCAGTGAAATTTTTAAAAAACTAATTCTTTTAAATTTTTAATTTCATAATCCTAAAAAATGTAAAATTATAGCTGATCCTTGTTAAAAAATGTTAAATCAAGTAAAAAACTTATTTTTTCATCATATACTTTACAGCAATCTGTAAGAAATGTTAATGTTATAAGAGGAATGCAGTTTGTCCCATGGGCATAATTAACAAGCACTGGTCAAGAAGAATTTTGATAGCAGAAATGTGCATGTCAAATTAGAGAGAAATTAATGAGTTTATTGTCAAGAGCTAACTGGAAGACCATCTCTGACCATGCAGCTGTTGTCTCTTGGGAGTTGGGCAAAAAGAAATGGCCTCATAGTTGCTTGTGTTAATTAAGAGTTCTTGATGGCTAGTTCAGATAAAGATCTTTCAATTAGTTATTTGGTGTAATGTAATTAAAACAAATTGATGTTTTATTCTTTTAAAATACAGTATATGATTAAAACTAAATTAATATTGTATGATATAATAAAAACTAATTATACATATTTACATTGAAAAAAATACATTTCAATTTTTATATATTTGCAACAAATTGCAGAGTGCCATGTCTTATAAAATTTTATAGTCTAAAGAATAATTTCTGTTTGATGTTTTTTAGACTGTAGCATTTTTAATCAATCATAAAATATGCAATAAAAAAAGCAGCAGATGGATATTTTTAAGCTCTAACTCAGCCAGTTTAGAATTATGTGATGTATTATTTCTTATAAATATTGTCTACACTCTTAGAGATGTATGTACAATAAATATGATCAGGAATTAATGGAAATTAGATCATTGAAATCAGTGTCAATCTTGTAATCTTGAACTTGGTAATCAAAGTTACCTGATTTTCTTGCACTCTAATTACCAGTTTATGAGCATTATTGAACAATATTTGACGGGCGTATCATGCTGTGGCGGGGCACTTTATTTTTTTTTTTTTGCCTATCAAGTTTTTCAGGTAAGTAAAAAAAAAAATTCTCTGGCTGCCCCCCTCCCCTTTCAAAAACGATGCTACTTCACTGTAAAAGAAAGGGAGAGATATTTGGGTATATCTGTGGTCCCCTCTGATCTTGTGAAAAAAAGACACAAGATTTTTTTCAATTTTTAAATTAACATTTTAATACTTCTTTTAAAAAATATTTTCTTCGCATATTTTATTGAGAAATGAAATAAAATCTAGGAAATACACAGTGAGATACGGAATTCAGTATGTATCACGCAGTTACCATTTGAGATCTTTCTCGGCCTCGGTCGAGGTCGAGGTCTTGTTCCTTCTGGTGAAGAATCCCACGACGATGAGAACTAGAAGTTCCACCACTTCCGCCAAACTGAGGACGGAAATCCCCGCCCACAGTCCCAGCTGACCGCCAATATCGCTCAGAAAGTTCTCAAACTGAAAACATCATTCAAGTGTTAGGGAATTTATATAAACTCGAGATCTGATGAAATAAATTGGCCATGTTCTACGTGTGCTATACATACACTGCTTGTGACAATTTCCAAATGCTGGGGCAAATTTATACAAAGTGATTACATTTATTAATAAAATATACATGTATAGAAACACAATGAATGTTAGATCCTTTAGAAAAATGATCCATGATCACGGGGTATAGGGGGGTATTGCATTAATACTTTATTTGACTTATTTTGAGTTATTTTCGTGATTTATTCGAATAAATTAAAAACAATCTGCTGCTTTTTTATCATCGACTGAAACCCACAACCAATCTCCATACCATATGCACTTGTTTCGGAAATAAATTTTTAACCCATAGTATAATAATAACACGTTATTATTATACTATGGTTAAACAAGTGCCTGTGCTCCATACACTTATTAATTAAGTATATGCAAGATTGCCAGAGGGTTTCCGGCGATGCTTTCTTCTATGCTCTGTATATCACAATAAGATAATTAAATTTAAAGGATTTATACAGAAACTATAAAAGTTGATCATACCGTATAAGATTCCTCTTCCTTTATCATAGTTGTTGACAATGTCGAGAAAAAGACATGAAGCTTCATATAACTCGAAGTGTCAAGCTCACTGAAACAAGTCAAACTCCAAGGTCAATAGATCATGCAAAAGTGTTGTTAGGCAAAGAAAATACGAGGCCTAGTATGTTAAATATTTACGTATTAAAGGTGAACACCTGACCATTCAAACGTTATATGACAAAGGCAAAAGTTTTTTTTAAAAAGTTGGTCAAACTCATTGATCAAGGTAAAAAGGTAACAAGGAAATTCAAAGAAATTTTTGTAGTCCCCCGCCTTCGGTGTCTTTGTAGGTGAGAAGTCATTTTTATGGCATATTGTATCAAATTTGAACGCCCTATCATATGTCATTCAGAAGTTATCATCGGAATTAATCTTTTTTTAAATAGGTCAAACACACTTCAAGGTCAAGGTCACGAGGTCAAAAATCATAGTGTATTTGTCACAGATAATACACATCTTTATTCATCTTTAATATGAAAGCCCTATCCCTTATCATTCAAATGTTATTGCCAATTTTAAGTAATGTTAATTTTTTTAAGGGGTCAAGAAGGTCTTGTCACAGGTAATAAACATGTATAATATGAATGCCCTATCTCTACTCTTTCAAAAGTCATGACCGAGGTTAATTTTTTAAAAGTATGTCAAACATCAACGTCAAGGTCACAGAGTCAAAAATCACAGTGTATTTAGAAAAATCTCATCACAAGCATTACACATGTTTAATTTGAAAGCCATATTTCTTCTTTTTCAAAATTTATGGCCATTCAAAGTAATATTTAATTTTTTTTAAAGCAGGTCAAACGTCAAGGTCACAGATTCAAAAATCATAGTGTATTTAGAAAGGTCTTATCACAGGTAATATACATCTATAATATAAAAGTATTTCTTCTCGTTATGACCAAGGTTAAAGTTTTTGTAACGGACCACCAGAACTACAGACTGACAGATTGAACACTGTTGAATGAGATTTAATGTACCCTCGATTTCGCGAAAGCAGGGGACAAAAATTTTTGATACCTAAGGAAAGATCTTAAAAGAAAAAGCATCAACTTTTTAAAAACTTAAGTCAAAGGTTAATTTTTTTTAAAATAGGTCAATCTTCAAGGTCAAATGGATAAAACAACCGGTATTCACATAAGGACTTGTCACAGGAAGTAAACATGTGAACTATGGAAGCCCTTGTACTTATTATTCAAATGTTATGGCGATGGTTATTTTTTAAAGAGGGTCAAACTGTAAGGTCAAGGTCAAAAGTTTAAAAAATGTTTAAACCCAAGAGAGGGTCTATTCACATAAATATATTTTTGATGTATAAAAGTCCTAGCACCAACTGTTGAAAAGTTTTGACTGAGAATTGAATTTTGTATAATTTTGAAAAAGAGGGTCAATGTCTGAGGTCAAGAGACCAAATATTTTGAAACCCAAAGATCTTGCCATAGAGATTGCACATGTGGAATGCAATAGCTACAAACAATCCAAAGTTTCTGTGGACAAACAGAAAACAAACAAAAAGATATACACTAAAATCTCTCATTACTGGGGTATGAAAATAGTGAAAATCAAGAGGAAAAAGTGGATTTTTTAAAAATTAGGTCAAACATGAAGGTCAAGGTCAATGGTTCACAAATTATAGCATAGGGCTTTCATAATTTACATATACATTACCTGTGACAAGACCTTTCCAAATATTATACTATGAATTTTGACCCCCGTGACCTTGACCTTCATGTTTAACCTTGAAGATTGACCTACTTTTCAAAAAAAATTACCATTACATTAAATTTATAATTAGCTGCAATAATGTAGCCCTCCGATTTTTTTTAATCTGATGTTTTCTGGAGAGGGTTACAATGCCACAGCATCTCTGTTATGGTGCAAATATATATACATAATAGGGGCGACTGCAGGTAAAAAGTGCCGTCCCATCCACTAAGACACCGAAAGCGGGGGACCACAATTTTTTGAATTTGTTTCAAATTTGTATCAATATGATTGTATATGTAAAGTAAAACATATCCAAATTTTAATTTCTAAAGCCATGTATGGCAGCTTATGATATTCATGACAGATGCTGAAGTATTCTCTTTCTCTCTCAAATACAGACACACTTACTCCATTTGAGAAATATTTACTCCATTCTCCTTTAGTTGTTGTTTTAGTATTGGAATATAAGAGTCGATTGGCCATGTTGTCATAGATAGAGTCTTTTCATAAATCAATTCTCTGAAAATACGCAAGACATCTGTCAGAAATGCATCATATAGAAACTGATTATTTAAAAGTTTTCATTTCAAGTATGACTGTAAAAAAAATGATTCTTCAGGAAATAGATGAATTAAATCCATGATTTTAGATTTGTAATTATCCAATATCGAAAACATACAAAATAAACGGTCAACTTGAACACATCTTTTAATAAAGTTACCCAGTTGTTCCATATTGTATTCCTACTTACTTGCAAGGAATTTTGCAATGAGAGCACAGTGTAGAAATATCTAGGTTCATGCGTGCATACTCGTTACTCTCAATTTCTAAGAAACGAAAGAGGCAATTAACAAATTACACTTTCTTCAAACACATGTAAACAATTTTTTAAAATTTAATCAAAAAACTCGTACACTATCTAATTGAGGGATTAAATATTTCGTTGATTTTTTCAGTTTACCTTTCAGCGAGGAACACAAAGCCTGATCGCCGATAAAGGTATACTCATGAGCACACCCACTAATCTTTGCAGCAGCCATTCCCACACAATACTCTATACATTCCTAGAGTAATAAAATATTTTGTGAAACACTGATCCCCCCATATGGCAGGTCATGACAAACGTAAGTTTCTCAAATGCAAGTATTTGTTGTACTTGGAGTACAACTCCAAAGGCGAAAGTCAAAAAAATTGTAATCTTTATATCGGCCGCCATAACTTTTGAAAAGTTGGAAAGAAAGATCTTTTCACGAGAATGGGTTAAATATGAAAGTCCTAGCACGCCAACTCTTTAAAAGTTTTGACCGAGGTTAAAGTTTTTCAAAAGTAGGCAAAGGTCAAATTCCAAGGTCAAAATTATTGGTACTAAAGATAACGTCTTGTCACCAAATAAAGTAAAGTATTTTATAAAAGTCCTAACACCGTTTTTTTCAAAAATATGCAAAAGTCGAAGGTCTACATTAAAACGTCAAACATTAGTTTCAAACGAAAGGTCTTGTCACAAGGATTTTTTAACGCCCAATCGAGAATTTTTCACTGATTTTGCAATCGGCAATCCTCGGCTGACTCCGCTACGCTCCGGTACGAGCCATTCGAGGAACTCCGAATGCTGTTTTTGAAAGTCACCAAGCACTTCCTGTTAGAGGGATATACTTGGCACTGACGGTCTTTGAACATAATTTTATTTTTCCAACCAACAACTCCGGCGAAACATGACCTCTTTTACTACAGGGTCTAATTTGTATCCAAGTCCTACGAACCAACCCCTTACTCTACGATTCCAGATGAAACGTTGTAGCCATTGCGCAACGCGCGGCGCAAATAAAATAGTGAAATATGAAAAACGTAGTTCCATTCAATCAAAAGGTCAGACAAGGTTTTCAACATGCACATTAACAGACAAACAAACAGCCAGATAGATATAGACCAAACAAAGAATTCAATTAACATCAATCTAACAAATCTCATTATTTCTCTAAGCTAATAATAGGTTTAATTTTTTATGCCCTCGTTATCGAAGATGCTGGGGTACACAGTTTTTGCTCTGTCCATCTGTCTGTCTGTTTATCCCCCAAAACTTTAACCTTTTCTATAACTTTTGAGTGGGTGGGGATATGGCTTTTATATTTCACAGATATATTCCTTGTGACAAGACCTTTCTTTGAGTGCCATTAAATTTGACCTCGTGAACTTGACCTTGGATTTTGACCCACTTTTATCAATTTCTTTTGAAACTTATACAGTTGATATCCAAAGAAAAGTCTTGTCACAAGAAATACACCTGTGAAATATAAAAGTCTTAGTACTAATTGATCAAAAGTTATGGTCAATGTTAAAGTTTTTTAAGTGGGACAAACTCCCAGGTCAAGGTAAAAGGTAAAAAATTGTTGATACCCAAAGGAAGGTCATTTCACAAGAAATACATCCGTGAGATATGAAAGCCCTATAGTACCAACTAATCAAAAGTTATGGCCAAGGTTGAAGTTGGGTAAATTCTTGCAAAATTGGTCAAACTCCAAGGTATAACCTTGGCCATAACTTTTCTTTGGATACCAACCTTTTTTTACCTTTTGACCCTGACCTTGGAGTTTAATTTGCATTGGAGAAACTTTACGATAAGCTGCCACACGGGGGCACATCTTGTTTCTGTCATAAAAACGCAAACCCAAAAAAAGCTAGGAGAACGTGACGTCACTGCAATTGACACCAACACGTACTCGTATATTACGTCTATCTACATCTACATGGTACGTTGGTCCTTCATCTTTGACGATTACTCAACGGCGCAGCGCTTTGACAACATTGTTAGAAAGATTAAAATGTAAAAACGGTTAAAAGGTAAAAGAAGGAAGTTTTCAGCTCTTCTGTCAGCAGCCAGTCCGGTAACCGTAGCGGCCCTGAGACTTACTAGTAGAGGTCTCCCCGGCATTGCCTACTGACTTCACTAGAGCTTACTTGCTCCCTGAGCCATCTAGAAGGAAAGTGATGAAAGCCCCTGCTTGAAGTGTACCAAGTCAGGGGCCTCAGCAACAGATGCTGGTAAAGTGTTCCAGGTTATGATAGTCCTGGGGAAGAAACTGAACTTATAGATGTTGGTTCTGCACTGATGATGCTGGAATCTGTAGGAATGGGTGGATCTGGTTCGACTTGATGATGGAGTGACATACTGAGATAGCGGGATATCTACCAGGCCTTTCCATGCCTTATAAAACATGGCGAGCTGTGCCTTGGTCCTACGGCTCTCTAAGGATTCCCACTGGAGACTGTCTAGCATGTCTGTAACACTGCTGGTATTCCTGTATCTATTTGTGACGTTCCTAGCAGTTCTCCTCTGGACCATTTCAAGTCGGTGGATGTGATCCTTTGTGTGGGGATTCCATACTGAGGCACAGTACTCCAATGTGGGCCGAACTAGTGCCATATATGCCTCTGTCTTGGTCTTCTCATTGGTGATTTTGAGGTTCCTACGTAAGAAGCCAAGAGTAGAGTTCGCCTTCTTAACTGTCTTATCAATATGGACCCTCCATGACAAGTTGGTAGTTATCCATACCCCTAAGTACTTGGTGGTCTCTACATTCTCCAACATCTGACCTTTCAGTGAGTAGCTGTAGAGCCGCGGGTTGCAGGATCTGGTGAACACCATGGTGTTACACTTGTCTGGATGGAAATCCATTCCCCACGTTTTCTCCCACTCCTCTAGATGGTGTAGGTCTTGTTGGAGTTGTTCGCAGTCCTCCCGACTGTGTATCTGGCGATAAAGGACACAGTCATCAGCAAATAATCTCACATGGCTATTGACACAAGATGGCAGGTCATTGATAAAGATGAGGAAGAGCACAGGCCCAAGCACACTCCTTGTGGGACTCCGCTGATGACAGGTGCGGGCTCTGATGTGGCTCCTTCCACCACCACTTGCTGGGATCTCCCAGTCAAGAAAGAGCGGATCCATACATGAGTGTTACCACGGATTCCACTGTGGTGTAGCTTCGTGAGAAGTCTCTCATGTGGGACGCGGTCAAAGGCCTTGCTAAAGTCTAATACAACCATATCATGTTGGATACCTTTGTCCCATGCTCTTGCCAGGTCATCAAATAATGTGAGTAGTTGGGTCTCACAGCTCCTTCGTGCCCGGAAGCCATGCTGCACATCTGATAATATGCTGTACCTATCCATGTGGTTCATGATGTTACTGACCAATATGTGCTCTAACAGCTTGCAGCATATGCATGTTAAGGAAACTGGCCGGTAATTTGAGGCTTTGAATCTCTCACCTTTTTTGAAAATAGCTGTTACATTGGCCTTTCTCCAGTCATTTGGTACGATGCACTCAGACAAGCTTTTACAGATGCACTCAGACAAGCTTTTACAGAACAGTTGAGTGAGGAGTGGAGCAATCTCAGCTGACATGTCCTTCAGAACTCCGGCTGGTATAGAATCAGGTCCTGAGGCCTTGTTAGGATTGAGCTTCCTCAGTAGCTTGCAGACTCCTTCCTCTGAGATCTTAATGTCAGGCATTTGTGGGGATGGTGTACCATGAGGCATGGGGATATTCTGGGTATCCTCTCTAGTAAATACAGACTCGTACTGGCGATTCAGAATATCCGCCTTGTCTTTTGCCTCAGAATGTAGTACTCCACTTCCTTTAGTGGTGACACTCCATTGCTGTCCTTCCTCATGGCATTCACAAACCTCCAGAAGCGTTTTTGTTTATTTGGCTGCATATCAGACTCTGCGTTGCCAACTTCAATAATGTTGTTCACATAGTCCCAATATGCTTGGGTATTAATATTCAAGTCAAATAAAATGTTATAAAAACCACAGGTTTGCTTGAGGACATGGGTCTTACCGGGGTTGGGGGTGTCCTGTCCTCAAGCACCTGTAATAAAAAACATACTAGTATACATTAAATTCTCATTACCGCAACATCGTTGTCCAATCCATCTGCACATTTCTTTTCCGTTCCTGGAATTCGAATGTTTTCAACCTGCAACAAAAAAATGAAATAAAACTAATTCCAAATTTAATCAATCGAGAGAGAGAGAGAGAGAGAGAGAAGAGAGACATTTTTACACTGCTTAGAGCGATATAAGTTTCCACATTTGGGGACAGCAGAGTCCCCGTTCTTCTCATGCTCGGGATTCTATTTTCCATATCTTCCTCGTTTCGAGTGATGTCCATTATAACGCCGGCAGACCCAGCAATGAACGGAATGTATTCCTGCTGGTCTACATTTAAAGTCAGCGTCAGACCTAGAAAAAACAAAAAGACGGTTGTGAAGTTGGTGGGGATAAACTTTTGTAGGCAATTTATTCAAACATTTAGGATAGCCCTGGGTAATTATCTTGCCTAACCACTTACTATGAAACTAGAGGTACTGTGTCAGTGAGCACTGAACTCTCTCAATCATACCCCCGCCTCCCATATGATTATGATGACAAAGTTTATATGTTTTGCTCTGGGAGATCCGAAGAGTCAAATCAAAAAGTGAAGGTGCACAATGACACTATGTAACAAAGATTCTGTGATAGTCTCATTAAATTCATTTAGTAGAAGAGAAGTTGCGGATAAGAGATGGGTACCCCAAAGCGTAACAGACGTACGGACGGAGGGACATCCCGATCATTATATACCCTCCCACTTTTCAAGCGCGGGGTGGGGGGGGTATAACAAAGTTGGTTTAGTCATAAAGTTTTCGCCAAAATAAGTTAATTAAAATGTGATGATTGTGATCATTGCTTTATTTGTTAACTCTAGCTTGTCGGAACTACCAAATAACTCGGACTGTAGTTTGGGATTTAAAAGTATTTGTCTCAGAAAAACTACAAATTAGGAAATAAAGCTGAACACGACTCGTGAATCGTGTTCAGCTTTAATATTTTCATCAAGCCCTTTGTTTATTAGAAGACAGAACTGCCTTTTCGCTCTGCAGCTTAGCTGTACACTAGGCGGGCATTAAACCTTGGATTTCTACTGAAAATCTTATTGAGATTTTTTTTTTATATTGATTGAAGAAGCGGGTAGCGGTGTAAATGTGAGCAGTAACTTTTCATGGTTTTACATGATTTGTATCTTTTATCCACACCGAGAGTAATACCTCAGAGATAGAAGACATAATAATTCATCAGTCCGACATCATTTTACATCCTGATAAAGTAAACAGACAAATAGAACCATTTCCAACTTAGTTTGGACTTTCAGTAAGGCGTGGCATTCTCGGTGCTACATGTTTACCGCCTGTCAAATGGCGAATAGATTTTCATTGGTTAAGAAACATCAGGAACTTGAAATTGTTGTTGACAACGATGAGACGACTTAAGCTCCACCTCTTTGCCAGACGAGACAATGTAGTTGGTTATTCGACACACTAATTGGCATTTGCCCGAATTTCTATACCAGGTATATTTCAACAGTGAAGAAAAGTTGTGCAAATTTCAGAAGCTAATTATGTAAAGTCGAGAATCCAAGCCTTATTGACAGTCCAAATTAAGCTGGAAATGGTCCTAGATGAACATACTATGTCTTTAATCATATAGTATAACATTTTATATAGACAATGACTGGATCCACCTACCGCCCTGCGGACCCGGGGATACTACCGAATTTCTCTCTGAAGGGATGAACCTGTAGCATATGCCGTAAAATTCATCTCTGTATGCAGTCACATCACTTGAACAAAAAAAAATCTGTGAAAAAATGGTGTTCCCGTAAGGCAGCCTACGGCAAACTCCAAGGTCAAGAGATCGAAAATGTATTTCAAAAATATAATTTGTATCAATTTATATAACGTTACCTGTGGAAGATGAAAGCCCAAGACCAGGCGTTCAAAGGTCATGGCCAAGGTTTTTTTTTTTTAATGTGGGTTACACCCCAAGGTAAAAATCAATGCAATATAGACGTGAAATAAAAAAAATCCAAAGTTCCAACTTTTTAAAAGTTATGTTCCAAGTTTAATGTTTTTTATATGTATATTTACTTGTAATATATGTACATGTATTATATATTTCCGAGGTCAAAACTGATCGTATCTAATCAATGTCTGTCACACGGAACACTGAAAGAAAAACCTAGTGAATTTAACTAGTGTGTTTCGTAAAGCGTTTGTCGTGATTAGTAAACTTTCAGTTTACTGGTGAAGATAGCGAGTTGTGGAGCGGGGGTCGTATAGATACTTAGATACCTAGTGAAAGTTACTCATCAATTCTAAATTTACTAATCTTATCTAGTAAATATACCAATATCTGGTAAAACTACTATTAAGGTAGTGATTGTATGGACAGTGAATCTACTAGTTTTCTTCGTGACATTAACTAGTTATTTTTTTTTACAGTGAATACACCTGTGCTATATGAAAACTTCATTACTAATTTTTACACAGTAAAGGACTAAAGGTCAAGATTAATATTTTTTTTTATAAGTGGGTCAAACACTTTGATTAAGGTAAAAATATTTATACTAGGAACGGTCAAAATGAGTGAAGATGTGAAGTATGGAAGACCTTGTGCTTACTGCACGAAAGTTATGATCAGAGTTAAGAATTATTAACGTTTATGTCCCCTTCATTGAAAATTCGGGGGTATATAGTTTTTGCCCTATCCATCTGTCTGCCTGTCTGTTTGTGTGCAAAAACTTTAACTTTTGATTGGTCGGGGGTATGACTTTCATACTTAACATGTGTATTATTACTTTTTTGACAAGGCTTTCTTTGGATACCAAAATATTTGACCTCTTGACCTTGGGAGTCTGACCTACTTTTGCAAGACTTTTTTTCAACTTTAACTTTGGCCATAACTTTTGAACAATTGGTGCTAGGACTTAAATTGTGACAAGATCTTTCTATTGGTATAAATAGTTTTGACCTTGACCCTTGAGTTTGACCCACTTTAAAAAACTTTATCCTTGAAAATCAGTTTTCATGACTTTGAAAGGTTATTACTAGGGCCTTCATATTTCATGAAGTGTATTCCTTGTGACAAAGCCTTCCTTTGCAGCATACCAATAATTTTGACTTTTTGACCTTGATCTAAGAGTTTGGCCTACTTTTGAAAAATTTAAACCTTGGCCATAACTTTTTTGAATTGATGCTAAGGATTTAATATTTCACACGTGAAATTACTTATCCAGATCAAATAGTGTTTATGAAGAAATTTTTCACAAGATATTTACGTATAACTCGTGAAACGGAAAACATCACTACTTTTTTACTTTAAAAATGCGGGGCAGTTCACATCCTTCAAATAAATACTATTTCCATATGCATTTTATATTACAATCTTTAAACCTTTAGGCCAAAAGCATAAAAGTAACAGTGTGCAAAAGTAAACAAAATAATACTGTTAGTTTTCAATGTATGTAGTATTTATTTAAGAAATGAATTTAATAGCTACCCATTTTATACGGTATAAACTGGGTTGGGGCAGTTTACGCTTTATAAACCGCGAAGCTTGTGGACAGACCCATCCCCCAATTCGATTTAGACCCCTTGGACCTTTTCGACTTTTTTTAAATTAACTTATCTTTCAATGACATATTTATGATAAAATCTACACCAACAATTCGAAAAACTACCTAAAACAAACTTTTTATAAATTCTACCCTACATTCTATAGAGTGGGGTAGAAATATTTATAAAAATGTTTGTTTAAGCAAATTTCCCGTCTATATATAATTTATGTGAAAAAAAGTCGAAAAGGCCTGGAGGTCTCTGTCGGGGGTGGGGGTGGGGGTTAACACCTGTGACAAAAATGTAAACACTCACTTCAGGAGGCAGGGCCTTCCTTGATATTCACACGATATGATAAACTCTTTCTTTTTTGGAGATAGTTCGACCAAGTTTGTCAAACTAAGTTCCCCCATTCTTTGATAGAACATATTTCTAGCATCTGATGTTGACTCAATACCTGAAAATTATCATACGAAATTGCATTGCATAATGTCATATAGAATTCTTTTTATTTAAATACAAAATACATTGTATTTTCCACTGAATGACTTAATAATAATCAACTTACCTAGTAGGCCAGAGAATTGGTATAAATTGAGATATTTCTGTAATGAAAATTTGATATGGACAATCTGTTAGTATAATATTTGTACTCAGATCTGTTATTTGTTTTTGTGTGATTTATTTAACCCTTCTTATGAAGGAATTTTAAGGATTACTAGAAAATCTAGCTGCAGAACTGTATAATATCTCTCTACTTGAGAAAATTCGGACAGATAAAGCAGAGAGCAACAGATCCATGCGTTGTAAAACCCTTCAATTTACGCAGAGACATATACGAGGGTTGATCCAAAGTTTGTGGAATTTCTTTCTAAAACTTTATTGAGATTTGATGAAAGCAAACAAAAGGCGTATTTATAATATAGAGTCAATATGCAACAATACTGGAAAATTTTACCACATTCCAATAACCAATAGGGTCATACGAGCTTTCTGAAAATGGATATTTATAGAATCCGGGGGAGACTTCGACGTAATGTCAAGTTAAGTATGTCACGTCACGTTATAGGAGTACCTCACCCTCCTGCGTAATTCAACGAATTAATTCTACAGAATGCTGCCTTTTTCTGCATTTTTTTCTTACGAAAAGCCTGGGTATCCTCTCGCACCGACTTATCTTCATATTACACTCATTTTTCAAAAATACACCCTATCTTTCCATATGTTCCAGGTTACGTAGCAATGTCAAGCACAGTACGTCATCGGTCAACGTCCATTAACGCTTAATTTGTCTACGAGGAAAAGAGGCCCTCCGAAAGGCGGTCACACCTTTAAGGACAGACGAGACGTTCCTTAACAATAGATAAATTTTTCTAAGAGTTTGTCATTGAAGTATTGCTACTTAAATATGTTTACTCACAAAAAATTGAGGTACCTTACCAGGCATTTCTGCAAGATACCAGGGGTAGTTTTTCTTATATAATCCTTTGGGGAAGAAAAATAATTTTCCAATTTCAAATGTTTAAGTGTTTGAATTTGTTTAAAACGTTTAGAAACTGGTTTCGAAATAAGAATGTTATAAAAATTTGGAATATTTTTCAAACATTACGAAGATATACAAAACAGATTTTGAGGAACGTCTCGTCTGACCTTAATCAACCTCCATGGAGGTTCTTTTTTTCTAACGCCACCGGAAAACCAGTTGCTCAATGCATTATTCTTCAGCTTGTATCAGTAGTATACGCGTTTAAGTCCAAGTGTTCAAGAGATTTTCACAAAACTTAAAACTTGATTTAAATTTGACGTTGACTAACAATTTAAGATTAACAATAATTCATCAATTAATAAACTAAATTTCCATTTAAATAAGTAAATCAGTAAAACTCTCTTATTAGGATTCATAAGAGGTCAAGCAATCGTAATAATAACATAACTTTCGTTAAATATACCACTTAGCGCGATTTTTTCTCATTTTACGCATTAAGAATTAAAATGATAATGAAGGAATAAATGCCCCCCCCCCTTGCATTGTCAAACATCCGTTTCTATGTTAACTGCCATAAAGTTTCTGTCATAGATATTTCAAAAATTTTAATAAAGCAAATTCAACAAGTGTCTATGTTATTATTTGTAATTTTCAACCATTTTCACTAATTAATAAATAAAATATGAAGAAATTCCACGAACTTTTGGATCAAGCCTCGTACGTCTATGGATTTACGCCGAAGATTTTTTTGTCGCTCACTTCATGTATTTTTTTTTTTGTTTGTTTGTTTAGATTTTATGATTTTCCCAGCTTTGTAAATGATATCCGATAATTAACCATACATTTTACTCCTATTATTCCTAAATGTTTATATTTACCTTTCAACGGCTCAAGAAGGGCCGTTTGTGGGAGTGGACGTAAAAATGGGAATCCTTTAAACCGACATTCCAAAGCCCTAAAATACTGGGTCAGACCATTGAAAGGTAAATAAAGTATCAATAATTCGAGTAAAATATATGATTAATTATTGGATATCATTCTCAGAGCATACAAAAGTATAAACTACAAGAAATAATACCTGAAAGGTGCGACAAAAAATCGTCGGCGTAAATCGAAGGTTTTTAAAACGCATGGATCTGTAGCTCTCTGCTTTATCTGTCCAAATTTTCTCAAGCAGAGGGATATTAACAAAAATAATTTTTAATAAATGATATTGTTTTATTGGAAAGAAAAGAAAGAATATATGTAAATTATCAATGCTAACTCAATTTTGTGGATAGTTTTTTAACGCCAACTTCTGGAAACACGAGAGAGAGAGAGAGAGAGAGAGAGAGAGAGAGAGAGAGAGAGAGAGAGAGAGAGAGAGAGAGAGAGAGAGAGAGAGAGAGATTGAACAATGAGTGACCCCGAATCGTTGATTACGGGGACATAATAGTGACAGTAAATGGAAACTGATCAAACCTCCACATTTGTTCCAAAATCCAGCATATCAACTCCGGTCAAGGTCGCTGTCTCGTTGATGATTTTGAAGAGATTTTCATATGTCAACATTTTTGAAAATTTCATAGGACTTAGATTACAGAAGGAAACTTTCGGAAATTCAATTTGTCCATATTCATTTTTAATAATAGTATTAGTAGGTTCCCTGTGAAAGAAATAAAATTGGGATGGATAAATCAATATTTAAAAAAAACCTGAATGCATCTTCACAAGTCAAGGATTTCTGTTCCACTCCGCTCCACATAAAAAGCGAAAACCTTGACTTAATGTGGAACGGAGTGGAATAGAAAACCTTGGCTTAATGTGGAACGGAGTGGAACAGAAAACCTTGACTTGTGAAGATGCTAATTCTTGCTGGATTTTCAAAATTTCTGTACGAACTTCTTAATTTTCTTTTTCAAACGTGAACATAATTTGGGAAAATTTAAAAATCCACAAGTAATTCTCCAAGGGAACCCGGAACTATAGAGAATCTCTATTGCAATATCAAGTATGCATAAAAGATAATAAGAATTTACTAACTTAATTAACAACTAGAGATGATTAAAATGAATTTTTAATATAGCATACCTTTATTTGATAAATTGCAATCTTTGAAGATGAGAATTTTTGCTATTAACTGACAACTGCTGTAATTAATATTTTAAATCTTTATTAGCTTTATACTAATGAGCCTGTAAAAAAGGATGAATAAATACACATTTAATTAGATTTTTTTCATATTAATCATTGTGACCATGTTTAACTCTGAACCTACATTAACTCCATTAATTAATTTGCTAAAATACAGAGAAAAACAATCACTAAAGTGATAAAATGTTTTAATTACAAAGCATTGCAAGGAAGTAATGAGTAACAGGAAGCCTTTGCAGTTGTCAAAGTTGTCCATGTCTTTGTGATTCAATTAACAGAAAAAACTTTAATATTCCAATCAAATCCCCATTACTTTGCAAACTGATCAGGGATGAAAAAATTTAATACGTCTTTTGTAGCATAATATCGGCCGATTTACGAAGCAGTTATTCAGTAGGTCTACTTGTAAAAATAGGGGAGGGGGTATATTAACGTCTTCAATACCATTTCCTTGCTCAAAATGCTGTAACAAACAGTCATGATCAATGACACTTAATGTTCCTATTCTTTAGAATATTACTTCCTTTTGAAATAAAAAAAAAATGAAAATGATATCTACATTAAAAGAATTATAGAAATACATTAAATAATACCGACTCGTTTAACATTCCTGTAACACTTAACAATTCAATTTTCTAAAATGATTTAGAGTTTTAGAATGTTAATACATTAGTTCAAATTTCTAAATTTCAAAAACTCAAACTGATTTGGTATATTGAAATTTAATATTTTAGTTCAAAAATCTAAATTTTTAACTTTCCAAACAGGTTTTAGAATTTTAAGTTTTTAGATTAAAAACTTAAATATTCAACATTCAAATTTCCAAAAACAAATTTTGTATTTTAAACTTTAGAGTTTTTAATCTATCGTTTGTTTAGAAAGTTTACGCTTAACAATCTAGAGTTCAGTACAGTTTTAGGACTTTTGATATTTCAAAATTTACTCCAGGACTTTAGCAACATGACTTGTCACTCAGACAAAAACTTGTTCCGTCAACAATAGGCTCTTTAAGAAAATAAATTTGATAACAAACATTTTCCAGGTATCTTTCAAACTTGACCTTTATTCTTATAACTGGCAAAACAGAAAAGACAAGATATGTACATGTATAATATTATAATAAACATAAAAATATTACATTCCGGAAGAAGGGATAACAGAGTATATGTATATCATATATACATGTAGCAAATAATCATCCGAAATGAAAAGGTGTACGAGCTAAGTTGAAACCAAAAACTTTTATGATTTCATAGGATATAGATAAAAACTTTTTTAACGATAATTAAAAACTTACGATAAATACTGTTGGTACAGTGTATATGTTTGGAACAGACAGTATCCAATGGAAATGCAGAACAAAATTAACCAACCAATTTTCTGTATAATAAAGAGCCCACTTCCTATTCGACCAATTCCATGCATAGACGTATATTCCGTGAATTCCTTGCATACTTTTGGGATGTGTTTCGGCATTTTGAACCATGAGAAACGGTTATCCGTGACAGATAATTTCTTATATATACACTTTTGCTCTCATGATATACACCCGTTGTTGCTGAGTTTCATAAGGTTAAGTGTGTATTGATGAAGACAGACAAATTGTCACCTTCACTTTAGGGCTTAATTTTTAATCCAATATTTCTGACCAGTGGGGTTTATCTTTTTACACGCACAATGGAACGTCCAACACATACGTCAAATTCTACAGTTTTCCATTATAATCTATTAACAAAGCCAGTGTTCTTTTCATTAAATATGAAACAAATAATTATTTGTCAGCGAAAGTTCAATAGAATCAGTACTAAAAATTCCCATAAGGCATGCGCTATACACGTGTATATAGATCCTTCCCAATACCTGAAATCAAAGAACATGCATAATTGATCGTCAATGCCACTGAACTTAGATTGAACTTTATATATAATTTATATTTTTAATTTTATCACTTTATTTTAGCATCATTTATAGTAATTGATGCTTGAGTATTTTCCTTAGATGCGATGTCCATATGAAACAAAAGTTCCCAGGTTAATGAACAAATGAAGAAGAGCAACAAAGTATTACATGTGTCTCCCCACAAATTTTATTAAAATGGAAAATTCACACCAAATGTTCTATTTCAATAAAAATTTGTGGGAAGACACATGAACAATTAATATAGAGAACAGATAAAACTGGGAATACAAAAATCTAAAAGTCAAGACTATATTAACAATGTATTTTTTATTACAATTACCATGCAGTGCAAAGTATTCTCCCGCCTCTTTGTAAATTATGATGTCGTATTAAAATAGCATACATGTGGAATTGCATATATTATAAAATTATGGATTCTTTCGGTGAATATGGTTTGTTAATTATTCACCAGCCAAATATCAATATTGACCTAGGCGATCTATATGGGTTCTTTTCTCTCCCAGAGTTGACATGATATCCCGTATTAATTATACTTTCATGTAAATTAGTTGAATCTGATTGGTCGAGAAACATTTGTTTAAAAACACTATTACCCGCTGAATAATGAAGCCACGCCCTCTAGCGTAGCAACAGTCAACATTGCTTGACGACGGGAGATATTCCAAAATATAGCGACTGCTATGGAAGGGAATTACCGCCAAAAGTCTATGTAACTTGCTTTTATTCTTATTCTGCCTACTTCTTTATGCTTTGTTATTATTGTAATTATATGTCACTTTATTGTTTTCATATTCGTCTTCATTACATTTCACTTTGACTTTTATCCTTCTTCATTTTGCCCTTACTTCTATGTTGCTTTATTCTTGTAAATTCATTTTACGTTCTTTTAAATTGATACAGTTTCTTAAATGATTATAAATATTACGAACGTTAACTCAATTACGCAAACAATGAAGCATATTCAATGAAGACGAATACAAGTTGTCCGAATTTAGTGCCGCATTATAACGCTAGGTGGCAGGGGTGTTCGCTAAGAGTGTTGGTAAAATTAGGTAAGCAAACCCGGGCCGGGGTTATTCGAGTTTTTTTCAATTTTCTGTCTTAATACTTTATTAATCAAACTTAAATTTTAAAAAGACTGATGTTTGTTATAAGTTCAGGTATGTACCCGATACATGCCATTCCCTCGGAAGTCTCGCTAGATGGTAAGATTTCCCCTGGAAGACTGACTACATAGTGATGCTTCCATCGGAAGACTATACATTGGGACTCCCCCGGGGAAATTTCAATATAGTCTTCCGTGGGAAATCTCGCTATATATAGCAATTCGCCCCTTCCTAGCAACCCCTACCCCGAATAGTTTTTTAAATCGTAAAACAATGTTTATATATACTAACGTTTTCAGTGTTTGAAGAAAAGTTATCCGTTCTATCGGTTCTGTATGAATAAATATTTAAATAATATCATTTTAATAGTGTTTTATAATTAAATCATTTTAACCATTTAGTTAAACATAGATAATCTTCACGAGTACATATGGATAATGACTCTCTCTCTCTCTCTCCCCCCCCCCCCCCCCTTGGACGCAGTCGCCAGCTTGGCACTGTGGTTATGGCGTCTGCTCTTTATAGAGTCACGAAGTACAGTAGTAAGGAGTCGACCAATACGTCGTGGGTTCGAATCCCACCATAGGATGTGGAGTTCGGTCCATCGGATAAGACCTAGACCGTATTATCCAAGGTCCCGGGTTGCAGTAGGTGCTGGCACGAAAAAAGATCCCTCACTGCTCAATGGCTATAAGTGCCTCGTAGAACAAATTTGCAGCTCTCCACCGGCAAGAGGTGGCTTCTCCTTTTGAGTGAAAAATTCTCGAAAAGGAAATTATACAATGTACAATCACACCACCAATGTCTCAATATATATACTGAGGTCCGGGTGGACGACCTCGTATTTTCATCTAGAAGGGAGGGTGGCCACGAAATATTTACCCAAACGTAACTTTTTACTACTGGAAAAGTTCAGCAAAAGGCTTGTTGCCCCCATCCCTTACACTTTTTGTTGCCGCGAGTACTAATAGTCAATTTATATATTAAAAGTCATGTACATAGTGGCATATGAGTAAAATTTATTACTGAAAAAAGTTGACGACCTCACCACCACCAGATAGAATTTTCGATTTTTAATTTTTTTAGCTCTTCTGGTTGATGACAAACACGGTGCGTACTAAAGATATTTCTTTCTTTATTGAAAAGTGCTATTTTAGTATAAAATATTAACGCAGGAAAAAAGAACGAGGTGTTTCTAGTATGCCTGGGTGCATGTAGCCTGGTTCCGACTTCGCCTTCCATGCGCGGATCTAGATGGGGGGGGGGGGTTAGGACCCCTTTGAATTAACAAGGTTACTAAAAAAAGGAATAAAAGTTAAACACCCCCCCCCATGAAATAGAATTTTGACGTTTGAGCAAGTTTAGGTTTTTTTTCTTCTTTTTATGCTTGTCAAGAAATTTCTGGGATTGGATTTTTTTTGACTGGTTTGCCCCCCCCCCCACCCCACTGGAAAAAAATTCTGGATACGCGCCTGCCTACCCATAACGCTCCTCACTCCTTTGCATAGCCCTGTCCCTAGAATCACGCGCATCAGCAGTTACTATCTGTCGTGAAATAAAGTTCATTTCAGTGGAAGGTTCTGAAAAACAACCCAATTTATAAGGGTTCACTAGTTTCAAAATCTTTAACATTTTTATAACAATTAAACTGTAATTTGAATATCCGACAAATAACTTTAGTAGAGTTTAGTAGTGGCTTATCCCCCACTTCTTTCCAAAGATAGACTTAGCATAGACATTGAACATTCCTGCGTAGCTTTAGCCCCCACCCCCACTTTCCATGGACACGATGCAGTAAAGGTATAAAATGGGGAAAGTGGTGGCATTTGGAAAAAATAACTTTGGCACTGGAGTTCGATCCTTCAACCCACCCCCACCCCACCCCTCCTCACGAAATAGGATTTTTGTGTTTGGAAAATAGACATTTCTTTTTTTATTTTTTTGCTTGTCAGGTTTTTTTTTTTTGAAGGTCTAAAAAAATTCTTATATACAACTTTCAATTAGCTATAATGAAATCCTATTTTTGGGGTGGGTTTTGAGTTAGATTCAACTTCTTTAGAATCAAATTTAAATTTTCTTCCTACTATACGTACACATTTACTTATTTGACCCTTACTCTTACAAAAAGTGGGTCGGACTTTAAATGAACATATATAGTATAGTATAAAGTTATGTCTGAAAAAAGAAGCCGTTATTCCTGTATGCCCAGTGAAAATAGATATGGAGTTTCCATCATTGGATCGGGAGATCGGATCCGGCCATCAGAAGTTCGATTGATGAAGTATTAAGGCGTATTGAAGAATCTCAAATAACCCGACCCGGGTTTGCTTACCTAGTTTTACCAACACTCGTAGCGAAAACCACGCCACCTAGTGTTATAATGCCGCACTAAATTTTGACGGTTTGACAACTTCCATTCGCCTTCATTGAATATGCTTCATTGTTAGCATGATTGAGTTAACATTCGTAGTAGAGATAATGCTAATAATTTATTAAAGAAACTGTTTCAGTTTAAAAGAATGTAGAATGAATTTACAGGAATAAAGCAACATAGAAGTAAAGACAAAATGAAGAATGATAAAAGTCAAAGTGAAATGTAATAAAGACGAATATGAAAAAAATGAAGTGACATATAATTACAACAATAACAAAGCATAAAGAAGTAGGCAGAATAAGAATAAAAGCAAGATACATTATACAGTTATTGACTGGGTATGAGGGCAACATATGATTTGTTGGACCTGAAGGTGAAAATGTTGCCCGAGGCCGCAGGCCTCGGGCAACATTTTCACCTTCAGGTCCAACAAATCATATGTTGCCCTCATACCCAGTCTATAACTGTTTTGTTATACCCTTCACTGCTCACATACGATTGATCAATTAAATCGATACACGCTATATTATCAATAAATTTATATGGAAAATTATGGCTTCTTCAGTAAATATAAAACATCAAGCTGAGAAAGACCAAAATCAATTATATATCTATGGTATGACAAAATTTATTTTTCACAAAACATTTTCTTTTCTTGTAGCTCTTAACTTCGGCTATTTTCGCGTCGCCGAAATTGAACGATGATTATTAATTGTGACGTAACAGACGAGTGACGTTGCGGTCTAACAATTCTTATGTAAGACCGGTCAATAGTGAAATTGTTAGACCGATGTAATAAACAGTTCTTTTGTTGGACTTTTTGTAAGTAATAAATATATAGAATGATATTTATAAGGGTATAACAAAGACTTTTGGCGGTAATTCCCTTCCATAGACTGCGCAGAATTTATTCGAGCGCGGTTCATTGTTATATGTATTTGTATAAAACATTCAGTATTATACAGTTATTGACTGGGTATGAGGGCAACATATGATTTGTTGGACCTGAAGGTGAAAATGTTGCCCGAGGCCGCAGGCCAAATCATATCCAACAAATCATATGTTGCCCGAATCCC